AGATTCATCATTGTCTGCTAATGCAGCAGGATAGGTCTTAAACCCAGAGTTGCTGCTAACCTGTCCAATTATGTTTTCTGAATGCAGCTCCATTGAGAAGAATGATGGGATCACCTTTTCTTCAGGACTTGAAACATTATCAATTTGAAACACAAGGTTAGTAGAAATAACTACTTAGCATAGTATAGGTAGAAGGCTGTTCAATATTCACTGACCATTATAGAAGATATAAAATTACTGTAAGACTTTTTTTCTCAGAAATACTACACTTGCATTATAGCAATAGCACTTAGATTACTGTATATACCGCTTCACAGTGCTTTACTGCCCTCTCTAAGCAGTTTACAAGTCAGCATATTGCATCCAACAATCTGGTCCTCGTTTTACTAACCACGGAAGGATGGAAGGCTGAGTCAACCTTGAGCCAGTCAGGATCAAACTCCTGGAGTGAGCAGTGAGTTAGCCTGCATTGTTGCATTCTAACCACTGCACCACCACACTGAAATGGTGGTTGGGATATATGTGTCTGAAATTGTTTTCCTATTCAACATTAGGATACTTCTGTGATTGAAAGCTGTATGTGAATTTTCTTCTGACAAAAAGAGAAAAATGACATTTCTCAGGTGAGATGGGAAGAGAGCACTGAGCAAATTTAAAATAATCACATACTTTAACCATGCAAAAATAGATTTTTTTTCATGACTTCAAGTATGACTCATTTTGGACAGGTGAGAACACAGTGTGGTTTCCTATACTCTCTTAGACTGATGACTATAAGTACGTTGATCTGATTCAAACCATCATTTATTACTTATGTCAGAGACCAATTGTTTGATGGTCTACAGAGAATTAAAGCTGGTGAAATTGTGTTTATTTGTAATGGGCAACTGAAACAAAATTGAAGTTGGAATAATCTCTTCTCACTTCACTCTGTTTTTTAGGAATGAACTAAATGGCAAACAGCACCACAGTGAGAGAATTCATATTGTTAGGGCTGACTAACAACCAACAAATTGCTGTTGGCCTTTTTCTCATCCTGCTTGGGATTTATCTTTTGACATTGATAGGAAANCTCTGTAGTCCAATGTATTTCTTCCTCCGACATGTGGCATGGATAGAGATTGGGTATATAAGTAGCATCATTCCTAAAACACTGGCCAACATAGCCACTGGCAACAAGAGTATCTCTTTAGCTGGTTGCTTCGTACAGATGTTCCTCTATTTTCTTCTTGGCACCACTGAATTCCTTCTACTGGCCACAATGTCTGTTGATCGCTACATAGCCATCTGTAACCCTCTTCACTACACAACCATCATGAATGAACAAATCTGCTCATTATTGGTACTTTGTTGCTGGATTGGGGGTTTGTCACTAATTCTAGTTCCATCCATTCTTTTCTTTCAAATGCCATTTTGTGGTCCTAACATCATCAATCATTTCTTTTGTGACAATGGAGCACTAATCAAACTCTCATGTGTTGATACCAGTCTCCTAGAACTGTTTAATTTTGTGAGTGCCACATTCTCTCTACTTGGGTCCTTAAGTGTCAACATTGTGTCTTATGTCAAAATCATTTCCACGATTCTGCGCATCCCATCAACTACAGGGAGGAAGAAGACGTTCTCCACCTGTGCATCTCACATTACTGTGGTCTCCATCACTTACAGCAGTTGTGTTTTCATGTACATAAGACCCAAAGGCAGCAGCAAATTAGATTTCAACAAAATGATAGCTCTTCTGAATACTGTCATGGCTCCACTTTTGATCCCGTTCGTATATTGTTTGAGGAACAGACAAGTGCAGGATGCTTTGAGGACTGGACTGAGACAATGGATTGAGTTTTGCAAGAAATTGAAGTGATTTGTCATTGATGTGACCTTGAATCAGATTTTAAAGTTCAACTTCTGCTTTGTTAAGTTATGGCATGTGCTGCTTTCAGATGTAATGATCACACACTGAGGTGGTTTACAAGAGGACATAGTAATCAGGGAGCAAAACATCTGTTAATCCTCAACAAAATAAAGCACAATATATTAGGAACATGCACACAATATTTTGTTCTGTCTTTGGGTTTGATATCTACAGAGGAAACTGACAGAAAATGCTTGATAGACATTTCTTGCAAATTGCAATAGGTTTCTTTGATCCTCGAGAAGTTCTTCACAGTTAGTCTCGAATACATGTTGTGCCTTATGCTTTAAAATGGTAACTAGCTTCATTGTTTATAAGAGGCGGCTTCCATGTTCATTGCCCTGAAAATATATGGAAGAAAAAGGCAGCAAAACTGCACAGCAGGGAAACATCTGAGAATGGAGAAAGTTATGCTTCCCAAACAGGGGTAACATTTTAACAGATGCATTTGATTGCCTCTGATTTGTAAGCAAAATCAGCACCATTTCACAATCTAGAAAAATGACTATTACTCACAGAAAATTGCAAAACCATAACCATGAACAATTTCTGAATCTGTTTTGTGTATATTGTAAGTGGTGAAAATACTGCCTGCCAAATATAAACTAAGGAGAAAAAAAAATGATATATATTGTTGCTTTGCCTCTGATTTGTAACATTATTAAACATATCCTCTAGGACAGGGCTTTTCAACCAGTGGTACGGGTACCACTTGTGGTACATTGCCACCTGGCAGGTGGTACGCAACCATCCTAGAAAAGTAGCGGTGGAGGGGAATGAGCTGAACTGGTGGCAGCACCGCATAAGCCTGAGCGAGAGATGGCTGGAGCTTCAGGGCTGTCAGGGCTCAGCGGAAGCCCCAGGATCAGTGCCAGACTCCAGCTGGAGCTCGGTGCTGATCCTGGTGCTTCTGCAGAGCCCTGAAGAAGCACCAATCAGCTGGAAAGCAGCACTAATCCTGGTGCTTCTGCTGAGCCCAGAAGTGCCGATCAGCTGCAATGTTGCAGCATCTCCAGGGTCTTGTGATTTACATTCAGATGCTTGGCAACTAATTCATATTTATGACGGTCACAGTCTCCCAGGGTCATGTGAAGTGGCCAAACCCTGCTGCAACCACCCAACAGACGGGGAGAATAAAAACCAAACACCCCTTCACCACACCCCTGCTGCCAATCCTCAACAGAAATGCTCACAACAATGAAAACCTCGGACAGGAGAAAAAGCGCGTCCAGGTGGGCAGGCAGGTGTCTTGCTCGGCTGTGGCTTGGGGGGCACTTTTTTCAGTGCCATTGTAACTTCGAACAGTCACTAAGCAAACTGTTGTAAGTCGAGGACTACCTGTACTTTTATCACTTTTTTCCTTTTTTGGGGGGGGGGTCATCAAGTTTTTGACACCTTGCTAGGCGACTGGTGGTACTCGGATGTTGCCATATCCTAAAAGTGGTACAATGGGTGAAAAGGTTGAAAAGCCCTGGTCTAGGAAATGCTCTGTTTCTTAGTTGAGAGAGCCAGTTTTGTTAAAAAAAAACAAAACACCTCTTTCGTGGTCATGCGGCCAGCATGACTATATACTGAGGCACACAGAATGCTGCTCCCTTCCTATCAAAATGATACCTATTTATCTACTCACATTTGTATGCTTTAGAACTGCTAGGTGGGCAGGAGCTGCAGCAAGTTATGGGAGATCAACTTGTTGCACAGCGTTCAGATCTCAAATGTAGGCTGTCAGTTTTCCAGCTAACAAGCTCAGCATCTTTAACAGCTGAGGCATCATGCCCTCTTTCAAAAATATACTTCCCTTCTCCTGTCCAATATTCAATAGTGGTGAATATCTGTAGCTCAGGTGTAAGATGAGGGTGAAAGTTCATTCTCTGAGCTTGTGGGTTGGTTTCTGAACATTTCGTTCCCAGGCTAGGTAACATCTTCAGCAGAGTTTAGGGGATGTCCGTGTCAGCGTTCCTCTGTTTATAAGGGCTTCAGGTATGGATGTGTCAAGTGAGGGTCTTGTGATGGGTCTTGTAATGGGGAGGCTACAATAGGTCAAGCTCATTGGGAGGTGAACTGCTGATGGAGGGGTGACTTGCATGGGTTGGTTGAGCATTGGTGCTATTGCTGGTTGGCTGTATGGTTGATTTGGATTCTGAGGGGTTTGTAGATTGGTTGTAGGTCAGTGGTGGGATTCAGCCGGTTCGCACCGGTTCGGTAGAACCGGTAGCTAAATTTTGTTGAGTTCGGAGAACCGGCTGAACCCATGCTGCTTCTGGAAGTCTGTTCTAGGCCTCGGAAGCCTGGAGGAGGTCTCCCAGGCCTAGACTGGCCCACCGGAAGTGCATTGATGTCATTTCTGGAAGTCCGTTCTAGGCCTTGGAGGCCAAGGGCTGCATCCACACAGAGAACCAGATGTTCAGGTATTTGAATCCCACCACTGTTATAAGTCGATGTGTCTATTGATGGAATTGCTTGTGGAGTGCCAGCCTTCGATTGTCCAATATCCCCTGAGGAAAAAAAATGATTCTGGAGTAGAACTGTAATCTGAGAAAACATTTCAGACGTGACCCTCCCTAGTTCTTATGAAGATAAGAAAAGGGAGAAACAACATGTATTCAGACTTGCAAGATTCTATTACTACAATCTTATAATCAAAAGATTGTTAGTGTGATGGAATGTAGTAAGGAGATAGATTTCCAGGAGGGAGGAGTTACATTCCAGAACAGCAAGAGACAACTCAGTCCAGGTATTACATATGAAAGAGGTTGAAGACAGCCCCACACTGGTACCTCAGAGAGTATATTGTAGGTGCATATAGTAGTGTTCTGGCAAGATTTTGTCTATAGATGTGAAGCAATAAAGAACTCAGCTATGAAGAATCACCATTCTCAGCTTTGGGTTGGTCAATCAGTTTGATGTCTTTGGTTAACAAGTTTGGTCTACCTTGGAGGGCTGACACCTAATTGTTTGAGAAAATTGCCTCAAGTTTTAGAAGAATCAGGTGAACTTTTTTCATAGAGAGAATGAATTCCCTAAACAACCAGTGGTGCTTGTAAACAAATTAACAAGTTTATCTCTTTAATTAAGATGGGAATTGCTACAGAAGGAACATACAGAAAACCTTCAAGGACATGGGCATAACTTTTTTGATTTACAAAAATGGGAGGATTAATAGAAAAAGAGGAAAGGGTTTGGAGAAGATATTTCTCCTTCTCATACTGATCTGCATTAGTATTCACTTTGTTTCTCCAATAACAGTTTTCTCCATTGGTAGTTGTAGACTTTCTGACTAGCATTTTCTATAATGTAAATTTAATTTTACATTCAATTTAATAATCTCTCAATTATTCTATTTTTCAAATTCTTCTTATCGATCACTACAACTTCAAAAGGGATCAAATTATTATTTTTTATTCCAATGTTCTGAAAAAAAGTTTGGACGCATCAGACCTTTCCCATTTTTCTAGAGATTTTGTTCCAGAAATAACCCATAATGGAATGGCAGAAATATTGAACAAAACAGCTATGGTAACTGAGTTCATTCTTGTAGGCTTCACCCGCATCCGATGGCTGCAGATTCTCCTCTTTTGGGTCATCTTTCTCACTTATCTTTTGACCATCACGGGAAACCTTCTCATCATCTACATCACTCTGGTTGACCATCGCCTCCATACCCCTATGTACTTTTTCCTCAGGAACTTCTCTGTCTTGGAAATAGGATTTACTTCTTCTGCCATCCCTAAGGCTTTGTTTAACTTGGCCTCAGGCAACAACACCATTTCTCTTGCTGGCTGCTTTTCACAGGCCTTTTTCTATTTTATTTTGGGCACCGCTGAATTCTTTATTCTGTCCACAATGTCCTTTGACCGGTACGTAGCCATCTGCAACCCTCTTCGCTACACAGTCATTATGAACAGCCAATTGTGTACTCAGTTAGTGTTAGGATCTTGGATTATCAGCTTCCTTTATGTCATAATGCCCCTTATTCTATTATTTCATTTGCCCTTCTGTGGTCCAAATATCATCAATCACTTCTTCTGTGACAATATGCCACTGATCAAACTTGCCTGCACCAACACCCAATTTCTGGAATTGATGGATTTTCTCATGGCCACCTTTACTGTGCTGGGGACTTTGGCCATCACAATAATTTCGTACATTAAAATCATTGCTGCTGTCATGCACATTCCTTCCAGAACTGGAAGGCAAAAGGCTTTCTCCACTTGTGCTTCTCACATTGTGGTAGTTTTCATCACCTACGGGAGCTGCATTTTCATGTATGTCAAGCCCACGCGAAGTGGTGGGCTGGACCTCAGCAAGACGGTAGGTGTTCTGAACAATGTGGTTTCTCCTTTGCTCAACCCCTTCATTTACAGCCTGAGAAACAAGCAGGTGAAAACAGCTTTGAAGGATACTTGTGGATGGAGATGAGCATCTTCTAATCAGGGGAGTGAGATATGTGAGAATGAATATAAGGGCATGTACAACATCAAACCGATGACAGCGTGTAGATTCCATACTTCAATCCTTCAGATGGGAAAGTTAATGAACTAAGAGAAAAGACAGAGAGACTCAGAGAAAGAAAAAAGGACTTTGAAGAATATTTGTTATCCTTTGTTATCCTCGTAGATACTGCTCAATTAATAAAAGGCCTAAAGACTGGACTCTACCAGTTGGCCTGCAGTTCAAAGGGTGAAGTTCCACTCTGGAGATGGCTGTTGAATTGCTGGCAGACTACACACACACACACACACACACACACACACACACACACAGAGAGAGAGAGAGAGAGAGAGAGAGAGAGAGAGAGAGAGAGAGAGAGAGAGAGAGAGAAACACCTTGTTCTCTGCTCTGTACCTGTCCATCTCTCTTTTTTGGTAATCATATAGTTGTATTTCTCATTATGTTCTTTTTCATGGTTTATTTCATTGCTCTGTTATCTTATTTCCGTTTCTTTTCACATTCTTTTCATTTCTCCTTTTTATGGTTGTAAACCCACCATGGTGAGATAGGGGGCAAATAATTTTAATAAATAAATAAACATTGTATGTACCAGATGAAAAGATTAATTATGTGAAAAGATTTACTCATTCACGTTCAGCTGGTGATGACTTTATTTTTGATACAAGTTTTTATTTTATTTTATTCAGAATATTAAAATACAAACTTCAAAAAAAGAAGAATAAAATTACAGACAAAACAAAACTAGAGAAGGCATTTTTGTTAAGTGCACTTTTTTTTTAAAAAAAAAGACAAGAATACACACACATATATATATATATTGTCCCCCTTAGTTGAATACTAATAGATGCAGCAAAATGTTGTTAGTTTGGTGATTGCAGGGATGTGCATAGTGTTGGCAAAGTTTCTTTTTCCCAACACAATTACCCTGAAGTTAACAAGGAAATATATAAAAAACCTGAAACTTGTTCTGTTGCTACTTTGACTTTGATGTTCACTTTCAGTTTCTTTATTCACTTGCTCAGAGTTTGAGTAGTTTGCCCTATGTAGAATTTGGAACGGCATATAAAGAAAGACTAAAGTATTATACAGGTAATCCTTGACTTACAATTGCACACAAAATTTCTATTGCTAAGCAAGGCAGTTGTTAAGCGAGTTGCACCTCATTTTATGACATTTTGGCCACAGTTGTTAAGCGAATGCTACAGCTGTTAATTGAATCATATGGTCGTTAAGTGAATCTGTCTTCCCCCATTGGCTTTGTGGTCAGAAAGCAGCTGACAGTTAGAACAATTAACCAGTGGAACAACCTGCCTCCAGAGGCAGTGAATGCTCCAACACTGGAAGTTTTTAAGAAGAGACTGGACAGCCATCTGTCCGAAATGATGTAGGGTTTCCTGCCTGAGCAGGGGGTTGGACTCGATGACCTCCAAGGTCCCTTCCAACTTTATTATTATTATTATAAGGTTACCATTGATGCACACATGAGCCTGGGACAGCGAAATTGTCCTAAATACACTCCAGTTGCCAAGTGCCCGAATTTTAATCACATGATCATGGGGATCCTGTAATGGTTGTAAATGTGAAAACTGGTCATAGGTCACTTTTTTCAGTGCCATTGTAACCTTAAAGAGACATTAATTGAATAGTTGTAAGTTGAGGACTATCTGAATACATTAGAAAAATATTAGCTTATTAGCATCCAACCTTGCTTCTCCCCTCTTTCTTCCTTTAATTCTCTGTATTTAAAGTCCTGTAAGTGTGAATTCGACTCTACCTGTCAAGATGGAATAGAATAGAATAGAATAGAATAGAATAGAATAGAATAGAATAGAACAGAACGAAACAGAACAGAATAGAACAGAACAGAACATGGAACAGAACAGAACAGAACAGAACAGAACAGAATAGAATAGAATAGAATAGAATAGAATAGAACATGGAACAGAACAGAACAGAACAGAACAGAACAGAACAGAACAGAACAGAACAGAATAGAATAGAATAGAATAGAATAGAATAGAATATTTCTAAACTGAATTAAGAACCCTAGTTCTTACATTATGCAGTTTCCTTGCTATTATGTATATTGGAAATAAAATAAGAGGCAATCAAATTAGCAGTGCTTAGTCATGCCACATGGGGGTTCTGTAATGAGCAGCCAATATCAACATATACTGTAGTAGACATTGATTTGTATATATATATATAGCTTGCCCAAAAAGATATCCAAGAGAAAAAAAAATCTTCACATCTCTGGTTTGCCTGCCCTGACACATTTATGAAGTAACTACTGTACTTAATTTTCAAGGTATATTTTAGGAGGGTGACCTGATTCAAAAGTCATTAGTGGAATGTATCTTGGGCCAATGATCTATCAAAATGTGTTTGGGGTTAGATAAAGGGCATATTTAGTAAAAACAAGGAATGGGGTATGTCTAGTTTAATAAAAAAAAGGACTAGGGGTGACATGATAGCAGCCTTCCAATATCTCAGCGGTGGCCACAAAGAAGAGAGGGTCAACCTTTTTTCCAAAGCATCAGAAGACAGGACAAGAAGCAACTGATGGAAACTAATCAAGGAGCGAAGCAATCTAGAACTAAAGAGGAATTTCCTGACAGTTAGAACAATTAATCAGTGGAATAACTTGCCTCTAGAAGTTGTGAATGCTCCAACACTGGAAATTTGTACAACCATTTGTCTAAAAGGGTAAAGGGTCTCCTGCTTGACTAGAAGACCTCCCAGGTCCCTTCCAACTCTGTTATTTGTTATTCTGTTAAGGACTCACACTCCAGAAGGAACATATTGATTTGCTAAATATCTTCAATGGGATGTCTTCTATCAGGATTCTACAGCCTTAAGATGATTAAGGTGGTGGAAAGATCACCTAAGATATCTAATGTAAAAAAATAGGACCCCTTATCAGCCTTAACAGAGCATTTGTCTGCAGTTGCTTAAAACAATTTACCCAGCTTATCTTAGCTGTCTTTACCAGGTCTTTTGTTATATATAAAAAGTATTTTATTAATTTTCTAATTGTTACAATTCAGTAGTGCTTGATGAACAATGTATTGTCTGGGATATTTTTTTTGCCTAGTAATAGAAGTTAAATTCTTACTCTCTGTCACGTTTTTCCAGCCATTGGTAAAATAAGGACCCCTTAGCAGTCTTAACAGAGGATTTGTCTGCAGTTGTTTAAAACAATTAACCGGCTTATCTTAGCTGCCTTCACCAGGTCTTGAATGATGCTAAGGAAAGATGAATTTCTATGAAGGAGTCAGAGAGAATTTCTGTCTTCGTATCACCACTTCCCCACATTCACCATTCAGTCTTTGCTTCTGAATTACAGCACAACCTACCATTTAATAGAAATTTTCAAAGATGCTTCAATTGGGATTTAGTTAAGGGAAATATATGGACACACAGATTCTGAGGTGCCTAGTATGTTATTCAGACTAGGATCGTCCTCTGTTTTAGAGTTTCAGAACTGATGAACCATATAATTTGAATGTATATTACATATTCCAAAAGATTTGTTCACTTAAAAGGCCAATGAATTAAATTGATTTAAAAGCAATGTAAAGGTTGCATTCTTCTTTTTAATATATAGAGCTTTTTTAATATATATATGTATATACCCATGTGAATAAAGTAGCTGAACGGTACCAATCATTTAAAAAAAAAGTTATTTAGAACTAGAGGAGAAATAATTTTGATTCACATTTTGGGGTGAATTTACTTATAATTAGACTCACACACTGAAAAACATCCACAACAATTATTGTCCTTCAGTATTTGCATTTAAAAAAAAAAAACGTTTGTACTTCAATGTTTAGAAAAATGAACACTTAAAAGGATATGACGATTAGGGGAAAAAAAGGCAGATTCCCACAATAACAGAACAGAACAGAATAACAGAAATAACAGAAAATCATTTCATATTTTCATAAAATTCAATGTGAAATAAATCATTTCCTGTTTTCCTAAAATTCAGCAAAGTCCCATTTCCGTAAGGTGTACTCATCAATTCATCAAATGTTTTGAAAAGAACTGATATCCTTTCCATGTAAATATTTCTTCAGGAGACAATCACCCTGCTGAAAGAGAGAGCTGGGCATCTTCAGAAGACAAAAGGAACTTGAAGGAATTGGGTCATAATGAAATTCTGGTTACTGCAGAGGTTTCAAGGCAAGGTAACTCAGCTGAATATTGATATTACATGAAAGAATCTTCTATCAATTCCTGATCACAGTTCTATAGTAACCATGAAAAGTAACGAAACGAGAATCAGTGAGTTCATACTTCTGGGCTTCACAGATGTTCGAAAACTGCAGCTCCTGTTCTTCGTCATCCTTCTCTTTTCCTACTTCTTCACAATTACTGGAAATGCTCTGATCATCATCCTGGCTAATATAGATTACCGGCTACACACCCCAATGTATTTCTTCCTCTGGAATTTTTCTGTTTTGGAGATTGGATTCACCACTGTTGTAACTCCGCAAACCTTGTCCCATCTTTTGATGGCCCATAAAATTGTTCCCTATGTTGGTTGCATGATACAGTTTTTCATGTATTTACATCTGGGCACCACTGAGTTCTTCCTCTTAGCGGTCATGTCCTATGATAGATACCTGGCCATCTGTAACCCCTTACGCTACCCATCCATCATGCAGAAGAATTTATGCACTTTGCTGGTTTTCTGTTGCTGGATTGGAAGCTTCCTCCTCATCATTAGTCTCTTTGTGATCTTCCTACAGCTTCCAATGTGCAACTCAAACATCCTGGACCATTTCTTCTGCGACAATACACCATTGATCCAACTCCTTTGTGGGGACACTAGACTTTTTGAACTGTTTGGGTTCATCACTGCTGCATTTTCATTGTTGGGGACTTTAACCATTTCAGTAGTTTCCTATGTCAACATAATAAAAACTATCTTGAACATCCCATCTGCTACAGGGAGAAAGAAGGCGTTTTCCACCTGTGCCTCTCACTTCATTGTTGTGTCCATCACCTACGGGAGCTGCATCTTCCTTTATATCAACCCATCCCAGGCAAGCAAAGTGGAGTTTGGCAAAATAGTGGCCATTCTCAACACCATTGTTTCCCCTTTGCTCAATCCTTTCATTTACAGCTTGAGAAACCGACAAGTTCAGGAAGCCTTGAAAGATCTGTTGAGACAGGTTGCAGTCTTTATTAAAGGTCCAAGGAAAACCTGAGAACATCGTTCTTTATGGATTTGGTGTATCTGATATCTGGTTTGTGGGGCTGACCAATATGCATTTACTTGGTAGTTTGAAGTAGCATTTCCAGTCACCAAAGCCTTATGGTTGAACCTGCTAGTTTTGTGGAATATCCATTGAAGTTCTCCAGCACTGAAGGGTCTGATAAATGTGGTCTTCATGTTGAGTTACATATAAGTGTCATGTGGTTTCTTTATCTGTTTCTTTTCCCCTAAATCTTAAGAGTAGATAGATATTTTTCAAAGGTGGAAGTTGAGGAAAGAGGATTTCCTTGGAGCACCTCAATGTTTCAGACCATAAAATCACAGGATTAGAAGGGACTTTGGATGTTTTCTTGTCCAGCCCTCTGCTCAAGGGAAGAGATCTTATACCATTCAGATCAAATGGTTGTCCAGTCTATTTTGAAAACCTCCGCTGATGGAGCACCCACAACTGTGAGAGGCAAGTTAATTGTTTTCACCATCAGAAAACCTCTCCTTACTTCTAGGTTGGATCTTTCTTTAACAAGCTTCCTCCATTCTTTGGTCCATCCCATAAAATTCAGATTCATATATCCAAATTTATCTTCCAAGAATGTTTCCACTCATGTTGGTTCTATCTAAAATGTCTTCCCCACAGAGGTCCCATGCAGCTGTCACAGAATCAATGGCAACATGACATTTAATCTCCCCACTATTACATACACACAGATACACCTTCCTGAAGATCTTTGGTTTGGGTGTTGAAGATTGGGACTGGCAACCATTTCAAACCATTGTTGGATTGAGCCTTGCATCTTAAGGATGAGTGTGCAAAGAGGAATTGGTGAGTATATGAAATCAAGACTAGGTTGGACAAGGCCATGTTTGTGTTGGAAAAAGGTGAATGTCAAGCTCTGAAGAACTCTTACGCTATTTCATCCATTACTGCTTCTTAGACTCAGGGGGAGGAGAGGGGTGAATGAAATGCAGACTTCAGATATTGAGCTG